TTGTCTTAAAACCTAAGATACAAAAATAAACATGATAATCGTGCTCTGGTGATTCCAGGCAATGCTAGTGATACAGACCGAGGACTGCTCAGTACAATAGAAACAGCTCTTCTCGGTGCAAAAGACCCTGCTCAGGGTATTGGTTATTTGAAATTGGTAAAATAGAAGTGTCTATTTTTTTCTCCATGTCTTAATATTTACAGTAATTTTTTTAAATTTTAATTGTGTAATCGAGTAAAAAGCACTTTATAAAATGAAATGCCAAAAATGATAAAATAAACGCATCCAAAATTAAGGGCGATGATGCATGCATTCCTTTTATGAAGGAGGGGTGTTGTAGTTGACCAGTCACAGGAAACGTCAACAAATTCAAGCAATCAATGTATTGGGAAACAATAGCAACATACCCAAGGGGTCGTCTTATGACAATGAAATAGAATGTTTGCCTGAATAGGATTTAGGTTGTGAACATCTCGGTGTCCCTTTAAAGCCGGGATATTCAGCTTGAGATATTCAACTTGAGATATTCAGCTTGAGATATTCAGCTTGAGATATTCAGCTTGAGATATTCAGCTTGAGATATTCAGCTTGAGATAGCTTGAGATAGTCAGCTTGAGATATTCAGCTTGAGATATTCAGCATGAGATATTCAGCTTGAGATATTCAGCTTGAGCTATTCACCTTGAGATATTCAGCTTGAGCTATTCACCTTGAGATATTCACCTTGAGATATTCAGCTTGAGCTATTCAGCTTGAGCTATTCACCTTGAGCTATTCAGCTTGAGATATTCAGCTTGAGATATTCAGCCAGAGCATACTTTAAATTTTCCTGAAAACTTCTGCTAAAAATGTCAGCTTAATTGAGTTCTACGGTTAGGTCTTGGTCAAGATTAAATATCTATCATAGTGTAACGACAGAGAACTCGTGGATGCGGTACTATCTTAAAGTAAACAACCTTTTTTTAAAAACCATTCATTATATTTGTTAATTACCGTTATAAGTGTAGAGAAATTAATCTCTTATTTTACTCTATGGCTCGTGACAAACGGTACATAATAAAGGACGATACCATTAATTAAATACAGTGAAAAGAAACATAACAAACTGGGTGCTTGTCCTGGGATGTTTGAATCCATATTTTCTTTACGCCACCACTAACAAATTTTGTGCTAATCCTGGAATATTTGACTTCATATTCTTTTCTTAATACACCAATAATAAATAAGTGTTTGTCTGTGGATTAAACACACAATTTTTTTCTTTAAAATACTAACATTTAAATGATTTCATGATACTATTTTACGATATCAATAACAGAGCTAGTTACAATTTTTAAAATTAAATTTTTATTAGTGTGTTCATTTGATCATTTATAAAACTTAGTGTTATATTTTGCCTGTATCAAAAAGGATTTTGATATTAACAACCAATCAGTAGAGGCATTAGACAAATGTACTAGAAAGGAGCTATTTTCTATTGCTAAATATTCAGGAATAATGTAGCCCATTCTGCATTTTATAAACAAAAAAAATATACGAGATGTGATCATCGTCAACTTAGTGGATGAGGATAGTTTGTCTGAGGATGACCTAACCTCAGTCAACCTCTTCTTCTTCTATATCTTAAGGGCCGACGATCTATTTATTGATCATTTTGGCTCCTATGCATGTAGATGGGATTTGCAATGTTTCTGTTACTGGTGTTGATAAGGAAATCATGCACTAGGGGTTTGAAGGCTTGAGGCAATAGACACAAATGTGTCTAGTGTTGTCGCCTCAACTGTTCCTTTTGAAAGATGGTTCCAGTCCCTGATTGTCTTGGGCAGGAATGAGCAGCTCCTATACTAGCTTCTTGCTTGTATGAGCATGAATTGCCTGTCATGGCCTCGTCGCTGTCTATGGGGGAGAGGGACGAGTTTCTGTTTAATACTGGAACAGTGGACCAGCCCGTTATTTATCTTGTACATCATGGAGAGCCTGGATTGTCGTCGTCGTTTCTCCAATGGTGACCAGCCTAGTGTTTCTAGCATGCTGCCAACACTAGAGGTATTCCTGTAGCGGTTTAGGACAAAGCGTGCTGCTCGTCGCTGGACCGCCTCCAACCTGTCGATGCTCTTCTGGGTAAATGGGTCCCAGACTGAAGATGCATAATCTAAAATCGGACGTGTATAAAGAGGTAATACATTATTTAACATTCACATTTTAAACACTTTAACAAATAAAACTCTAGAATAAAATGTAGGTTAAAAAATAAGTTACAAAGACGTGTCATCATCATCCTTATCATTTAGATCCAGGGGCAATTTGCGTTATGTGCCATCGGCCTGCGGCCAGGGTAAAGAATGTATACACTCTTAGCAGTAGTTATTTGTGTGTCAAAAGAGTGTTAATGTAGACTGATCATTTTGGTAGGTGGTTTAAGGGTAAGTGAAAGAGATGATGTTTAACTGTCTCATTTGGAACTGTGAAGAGAAAGCTCAGTCGGGGTTTCATCTGGTTTATGCGGTTAAGTTAATAATTAAGTTGTGTGTGTTCTATGCGCAGGTGAATGACCTGTTCGTGTTTTTGGGGTTAATTTATGGAACTTTGGGGTTGCTAGTGGGCACACATCTTCCTGTTGAGCCCACAGCCCGTCCATTTTACAGTTCTTTATTGTGATCTCTCATAATCTTCTACAAAGTGTTGAGGAATGTAGGTATGTTTTGCTGTTCAGTTGTTTCCCTAGTTTGTCTGCTCGTTCATTTTGTGGTATGTTGGGGTGTCCTGGTACCGTATCCATTTTTATTTTAAAAATAGTGATTTTGCTATTGTTGTTGTGAGATCTTGATTAGTGATTTTGCTATTGTTGTTGTGAGATCTTAATTAGTAATTTTGCTATTGTTGTGAGATCTTGATGTTCAGCTGCCCGAAGGATGGATTTGAAGCCGGACAAGATACCGAAGTTCCGTTGTTTGCTGGGATAAACTTTGACGTTTGCATATAAGTGGTGTAACGCTGCTCCAATAGCAGTGTTTCCGCTTCATAATTAAGTTATACAACGACCATCCCAGCCTTCAAAACATCCCTCAAGACCCATCTCTTCAAACTGCAGTATACCGACTCATTCTCACCCACCCCCTGAACACCCACCTCCTGAATGATAAACAACGCTCGATTCTGCTGGGTCGTGTCCATGGCTAGACAGTGGTAGATAGTACTTGGATGCGTGAGGTCAAGCTTATCAGCAATTGTTTTCTAACGTATACGTTTCTGTGATTATTAATTTTTATGTGAAGCGCAGTGAGCCTAGCCCTAGACTGGAGTAGTGCAGTGAGCCTATCCCTATAGGGCAGGGTTACTGCGCTATATAAAAAAAACCAAATAACAATAACAATAAAAATTACTGCACACCGCTGCAGAGGGGTTGCAGAGTGTACAAAATGATCGGTCTTAGTTATCGATTCGTGCAGCATGGTCAGTATGTAGGGCTCCTTTAAAAGCTCATTGATCTGTGCATATTTGGATTACATGCTCTGGGTAGGATGCTATGTTGGTGTTACTTTCTTTGCTGCAGCTATGCTTGTATGCAATGGATCTATATCTTTCTTTTCTATCTCTTCGATTAGGTCTTTTTGATATAAGCCGTTTGTAAATGTTGGTTTTAGGAATAAGTCCTTGGTTATAATTTGCCACGTTTCTCTGTCTATTTGTAGGTGCTGTTTTTCGACAATTTCAGAGACGACATATATAATATATGTTTGTTTAATTTTTATGGTTTGTTCTCCAGTGTTCAATAATTTGTCTATTTCTTTGTTGCTTGTCTATTTGAATGTTGCTTGTCTATTTGAATGTTTTTTGTCTATTTGAATGTTGCTCTATTTGAATGTTGCTTGTCAATTTGGATGTTGCTTGCCTATTTGAATGTTGCTTGCCTATTTGAATGTTGCTTGCCTATTTGAAAGTTGCTTGTCTATTTGAAAGTTGCTTGCCTATTTGAAAGTTGCTTGCCTATTTGAATGTTGCTTGCCTATTTGAAAGTTGTTTGTCTAGCCTTCTGTATCTTTGTACCATCTTGATAACTCTTGCCTGTCTTTTAAGCCTTAGAAGCTAAATATCAGTATATATTTTACATGCTGCTGTATGTAGATCTCAGATCTCCCGAGAGGAAATGGACTGCCTGGCTTTGTATTTTTCCTAGATGGTCCTGTACTGTCTTGCTGCAATTTGATTTTATCGCACAGCTGTATTCCGTCACTGATCGCATATATCCTATATTAAAGCTGGTGCAGTGTGGTATTGTACTTGCCCCATGATGTACTGGTCATCTCTTCAACAAGATTTAGTCGTCTTGTTAAATTTTGTTTCCTCAATTTTTGAACATGCCTTGTTAAATTCGTTGGCTATCTCACTGGACCCTTAGATAGGTTAGGTTGTTTTCTCTTTGGAGTATGGTGCCTTGTAGGGGTCGGGAATTGTTTTTTTTTTTCGTTACCTTGTGACCCTTAGTAAAGACCGAGTATAATGTATTTCAATTTCTCTACTTGAGCTTGGTCAAGTCTTCGTTAAGACGTCTTGCACTGATACCTGTGCATCGGCAAGTATGCCATCTTACACGGTCATCTGCTCAGAGCACCACCGCCACGGCATTTATAACTTCCACAGTAATCCCTTCCGCTAGACCTCTATCTATGTTGGAGGTTTGACCAAGAATGTTCTGGTGTGTTTTTGTGTGTTTTTTAGGATCCTATGGCTCAGGTGTAAAAGTTGATCAGCCGTACGCTGTCCAGCTCGGAAGTCAGCTCCATGTTTATTATTATTTTGAAACCTATTTTTTTTTAAGCATATCACCCTGACACAGTTAGAGGTGTCTGTCAATAATCAAGTTCCTCGTTCACAGACACATCAGTTCTAATGCATAGCGACCCACTTTCTGTTCAGCGGGGCATGGCGACATGTCAATAAACCACGCCAGGCTATTATGTTTACACTTCTTGCAACGCTCAGGTAACTTTTCAAAACTCACTCATACAAACGTTAAGTGAAAGAACTACGGTCTCGTCGGCTAGAGCTTCTGCATCGACTGCGATCGCTTCTTTATTATTTTTCATTTCGCACTGCATGTTAGACCATCTAAGACAGGGCTTGGTAAGTTTTAGCTAAATTTTTGTCTAAACCAATGGACAACTGTCTGTTTGAAACATTTATGATTCCATTTCTACTAATGCGAAGGTTCAGATGATATGCTCTGATCCCTGTGTTAAATTAAAATTACATGAGGCATATCAGTTGTAAACCCTGGCTAATTCAATTAGGCTACACTTATGATATATATATATATATATATATAAATCTCACAAATTTCACACTGAAATGTAGGCATTTTCAGGCGTTATTTTCCAAAATTAAGACGTCATTAAATACTGAAAGAAGGAATCTGATAGTAAAACATATTTGAACTACTAGAATAGATTATTTATCGTGGACTTGCATTTGGCTTTTTAAAATTACCATTTGGCCTGGATTCTTTTCTGGGAATCGTTTGACACGTGACTCATCCCAACGACAAAACTGTGCAGATGGATTACCTTTGTTTGCTATACTTTGTTTTTTTTTGATGCAGTGTAAAAGACTTTGCAAGAAGCTTGTATTTGTCAAAACTTGTGGATACATTTTCACAACCGAATTACGTCGTCTTGAGGCATAACGTGTTCAGTGTTATACCTGAAGTTGGGAAGCCTATCTGACTCCCAACTAAACTTCTTTAATTGTTATTGTTATTGTCTGTTAATGAATAAAAAAAAACAACAACGTTAAGGTCATTTGAGAGGTACGTGACAGCGTGACATTCTGTGACATTTTGTGACAATGCTCAGATTTAAACAAAAATCCTGGCATGTTTTAAGTTTACTAAAAAGGGAGCCGGAAAAAAACAACAAAATAATTTCTACCAAATGTAAGCTTACTCAACACGTTGGCATGAGGAGACATGTTTTAGTTTATGTCTATGGCAGTGCAACCAAAAGTGGAGGTCTGTGGACGGAAATAGATCCACCAGTCACGTGTCTGCAAACGGTGGACTCTTGAGAAGAGACAATTAATGTCAGTGAATCTCGGAAATCGTCTGCTAAAAAATGTGGGTAACAAAAAAAACTGAATTAAAAAAAAAAAAAAAAGCACAACCTTTTTGATATATTATAATAGGATGTGTGTAGATTTGTATAGCATTTATGGTTACCATCGGTAAAAGGAATGTACTACTAGCGTACGCTAACTCAGTTTGAGAAACGCTACTCTATTCTATATTACGCCGGGGGGGGGGGATCTTGTTTAAAACAAACATTACACTAGAAATTATTGCAAAACTGAATTATGAATAGAACTAGCATTTTAGTTGGAAAATATTTAAAGTTAAAAAAATATATATATAAATAATTTTCTTCCTAGCTTAAAATTCGCATTTTATAAAAGCCCGTCTGGTTTGCAAGGTTTTCCCTCTCCATGAGGCGTAGCAGTTTACAAATTCAAGTTAGATCCCGTTCTGCAGAGTGTTTGCTACGTCGGTGATGTATCGATCTTTGGGGGCGTCGCTAAGAAAAACACAGGGTCGCACATAGAGATTTTTGCAGTACTCTCGAAAACAACACCGCTTTGTGTCGCAATCTCAAGTTGCTGACACCATACACCATGAGCTTTTGTACAGTCGATTATTCGGCTCTTGAATCCGAAGGCTACATTTCCAACTATGCACTATGGCGTGCGTCATTCGTATGCGAATGGGACTAAAGGATATAATTATCGTTGATTGCGCAGAGGGGGCGTCCTATGTGTGTCATGCCGAATGTATGACACGTATGCTTTAGCATTCCTAGTGGTTTGTAAAGGTTACTTTTTCTTCTCTCTAGCGTGTGTTCGGTTCGAGTGGGTACGGTACGGTACGCTCTGAAGACTGTGCTCCGACAGTGAGTATGCCTTGCCAGCTTGTGCTCTTCAAAGCGATTTGTTTTTATGAATTCAGATCCATGTCAAAAAATTTGAAGGACACTTTTAGGAAATCTTTGAAGCTCCATGTAGTCTTAGGCCATCCTCTCTTTCTTTCTTTCCTGTGTACACCGTACATGTGATTGTCTGTTGATGTCCATTTTTGATAAATGATTTTCACTTTTCACGTTCATAACAAGCTTTCTAAAGCCCCACACAGTAAGTTGATGTCTAGATTTTTTATTTACGTTCAACATTAGTGATACGAGAGCGCTTGAGTTAATAAAGTGCACGACACTGAACAATGAAAAACAACAAAACATCATGCCGGTACTCATCAAAATGTAAATGTTGATTTTTATTTAGTTGCATGTCTTAAATAAAATAAAATGAAATCGCTCGGATAAATTTCAAATGTTCATTGATGTAACATTCTGGTATGATATGTGTCTAATATGTATATGAAAAGTTTTATGTTGGTACCGCATAATATAAAATGAGTTAATCAGGTTTAACCCTACTTTGATTCACTCATTTCCTATATGGGCTAACCTGATTGCAGTCTCTCCCCCTGTAACCCTTGTACCGCATACACGACTCCATGGATTAATGGATCTGTTTCAAACTTGGGATACGTAGTTGTTTCACTTGCATATACAAAATAAAATGTTGGCTGGCATTGACTTTTTTTTTTTTGAAATGTTTGGGGGCCCAAAAGTCGTTTTTTTTAAAATTCTAGCTATTTAAATAAATTTACAATGAATGGATAATCTAGACCAAGCTTAGAACAAATGAACTTGATAAAATATATATAAAAACTGGAGAGTTTTGAACTTATAATATGGCACCACTGTCGACGCCAAGGACACTAATTATATTTTCCTTATCTCAGCTTCATCCCATTCATATTTAAACCTATTTTACTGGGTCAAGTTTCAATTTGTAATTTGACTGCTTGTCTGATTCATTATTTAAGTTACATACCTGGCTGAGAATTAAAACGACACCTTTTAAAAAGTATCCCGACAGCCCCCCACCCACCAAACCGAGTTAGAGCATTTTGTTTTTTGCTGTTTGAGTATTGAATTAATGAAAACATAAAAGGAACATTTGTAAAAAGTGATTATTTGAAACAATTTTATTTTAAATTTTCTTGAAGTTTCTTCCTTATTCTAGAGCGTTTGATTTTTTTTTTTTAAATCGGTTATTAAGATTAAATAAATGTCATTTCATGTTTCTTGTGTTTCTATAAGTTCTAAGTCTTTATGGTGCTCCTAAAATATTATTTAAAATTTAAAGATATTTTTGAAGTTTCTATGAAGTTCTAAAGGAATGTAGCAACTTCCATAATATATTTTCCTTATTATTTCAAAAGCTATACAAGAAGGCTTAAATTACAATCCAAGCTTTTATTTCAATTATTGCATATTTGCTAAACTTGGTAAAAATGCCTTTTATGGTGTCGTTTAAAATATAGGTCGATTTCAAACTAATAATATCCACATCTTTGTGCGCAGGGCTTTTCTAAATTTTATTCCATATAAAAGGCTTAAGCTTTGCCATTTTCCACCAAATTTAATGGACAATTTGAAGCAAAATAAAGTTTATTCGTGATCCAACGTAAAATGCTCACCGCTGTGAAGCATTAACAAAAATGTGTTATTTTGGCATCCTCGGTACCAATATTCAAAATTATAAAAGCAACTTCTTTGCAACTTCCTACATATTGTAATGGTGTACTGTAAAAAGTTAACTTGAGCATTTATATTAATTATTTTTATAGTGTCCCTATCTTAGGGTTAACTAAAATGAGCCCATTTGGAATGGGGATCCTATTTTATTTTAACTGATATTACGACCAGAAGATTGGACATTGGTTTATACCTTTAAAAAAATTACTAGGGATCATTTACAAGTTCGATTTGTTTTTAAACCATGGTTCTTGGATGTGTTCTGCTTGAATATCAACTGAAACTGTATTGGCACACAATTCAGTGTTTACGAGAATTATTATAACTCTGGATTTTTATAGACGATTTAAAACAAAAATTAATAGGTAATTTTTGTAACGTGTTTTCGACAGGGCCTTAACTTTACGTGTGCTCTAATACGGCTTTAAAGGTTTATAACCGAATACACACCCGAGAAAATCCGGTTACATTGGCTAGTAATGATTACAAAAAAAAGTTATGTCTTGGTTAAGTTTGTTTCTCTACTTCACAGAATTTGCAGACGATAAACATAGAACGCAAAGATGTTGTCTTTGGGATATGACGACTACGCTTTTATCATATGTTGGATTCTTATGGTAGTATTTTATCTGAGTAAAATTGTATCACTGTAAAGTGTTACGTTTTATGTTCCAGTGTAGGATTACACTCATCTCTTAAGACCTAAAAGCGATAGTTTATCTCTCTCTCTCTCTCTCTCTTTCTCTCTCTCTCTTTCTCTCTAAGCAAATAAGTGTACATTTATTATTGTATTATATCTATTCTTGTCTTTAGGCGCAAGATGTATGTTGTGTGCATATCCACTAAATCAGTCACACATAATGTAACTATGAACACGTCTATCGTAAATTTAAACACCCATAATGGATTAAATAAATGGTCTATCATGAATTTGAAAACACATAAAACATTTATGAGCATATATATCATAACTGAATTTGCTCTTGATAGGTGCGTACTTACATTTATAAACGTTACCAATTTCTGAATTCCATTTACAAATTGTAATATAAATGTATACTTTCAAAAGACAAATGATTGAACTTTAAGAATTGTTTTTTTAAATATTTAAAACTCAAGGGTGGGGTGAGGTGGGGTCTGTATGTGTGTGGGACACAATCATTTACACATAATTGAATAATAACATTAATCAGTGCATTCATTAGTTGAATAACAACACTGATCAATTTATACATAGTTTGAATAACAACATTGATCAACACATTGTATCTCATCAACAGCTTTTATACGAGGTCTTCATAAAGTCACCGAAGCAGGTATGAGCTTCATTTGAAACGTTTTAATGCTACACCATTTGAGCTAAACAAACATTACCATCTGCTACAAACATTTCGATACCAAAATTGCTCTGATTATTTTTTATACCAATAAAGTTAATCATTGCTTTAAAAAAATCATTACAGAACAAATCCAGAATTATTTTCAAGAACATAAAAGAAAAAAAAATGTTTAAATTATTTATGGCTTCTGTCCTCTGGTGTTACCTCAAATTTAATGGCTTTATTTGATACTGATTTTCTTTTTCTTCTGGAATTATATTCTACAGACTTCTAGGCAAGATGTAAAATCTATCGCAAAAAATGCCAATTTATTAAACAATGGGACTCCTAATGGTAATGAAGATAAAGCAAGTCCCTCAGATACAACAACAAAAAATTCACAGTTTAGAGAAAAGGCTTCCCCCATGGATACATCTGAAGAGGTTTCACCCTCTGATCAAACAGCTTGTCCTAAAGACAAACATGAAAATGCTGAAGTACCGTCACCACGTTACAAAGCTAAAATGGCTGTACCAGCACAGTCTGATCACGGCCCTGGAATTACCCATACAAAATTAAAAAAGGGCAAAAAATCTAAAACAAAAGCTGTAGAAATTAGCCCTGCTTCAACAACGGGCCTAAAATCTAAACCAAAAGCAGATAATAAAATAAATAAGCGCTCAAAGGGTGTGGCTAATGTAAGAGCGTGTAGAGAAACAAGCAAAGAAAGAAATGTTAAAAATTCAAAGAGCAAGAAGAGAAGTCGATCAACGAGTCCGTCCCCATTACCACGAAGACCTCCAACAAAACTCTATGAGAGTAGCACATCATCCAGGTTGATCATGATATTTTTGCCTATCTTAAATAATAACCATTTTACCAACTTTATTTTTCTAACTAACCCATTAATCATTGGTGGACAACCTAAGGCCCGCGGGTCACATGCGGCCCGCAAGACCTTTTGGGGACTTGATGAACCTTATCGTAAAATGTCCCAATTGTAAATGACTAGCTGTAAATGTATTTGAAAAAAAATATAATAATAATGACACTGTAAAAGTATCACTCTGTAATAGCGTAACAATGTCAGCAAATTAAACATACAAATTTTACATTACTTAAGTTCGATCTGAACTCGAAATGAGATTTTTATTTTTATCTTAAATAACACATTTGAAAAATTAACAATAGTTTTTTTAATATAACCCCCCCCCCCAAAAAAAAAAAGGGTTTCAAATGTCCGTTCACTCCCCTGCACAAAATGGTCGCCAACTTTTGCCCTAAATTAATGTTTCTATTTTTAGCATCCGTAACAAGAGCCGCTCTAAGACATGGGGGACAGTCAGCTATTTCCGCACTCTACGCACCGTAGTTGCTCTCAATCCAATGGCCAGATTTTTTACCAACATTGTAACTTTAAAACATAAAGTACTTTAAATCCAAATGGAAGCTTTTATTATTTAGCTCCGAATTTTCAATATTTTTTAAAAACTATACTGACTCACCCATACATTTGGACTAAAACGCGAAAAGTCACAAACATTTTACTACTCATTTTGCGTACATAATTCAAGAAAGCGTTGCGTCAAACATCTAGGCCTTGTTTAAAATATTAACGTATTCCAGCTTTTCAGTTTGTTTGGTCTATTCCCTGATGACCATAACACTTAAATGGGCAAAAGTAATTAGAAATAACCCAATTGTCCATCTCCAAACATGTCTAGACGTTTTCCTCTGAGAGCATTACATTTATAGGAAACTTCTTTTCGTCTCAGATTATAGGAGAAAAAAAACAAAATAACTGCGTGGCTTTACAGAATAAGCTTAATCAAATAACCTGTTTGTTAATTTGTATATATATATATATATTAAGCCATTTCCCACAAGTTTTGCGCCAATTAATATGCAGCGTTTCAGTGGTGCATCTCAAAGTGGTGGCCAACGGACCCATAACATTCTCAACATCTTCTCCGATCCACTACCTATCTCCCATCCCACCTTCTAATTATCCAACCTCAATCTCCATTCTAATCTTTTCAACTCCCCACCTCAGCTACTATACTAATCTTTTCAACTCCCCCACCTCAGCTACTATACTAATCTTTTCAACTCTCCACCTCAGCTACTATACTAATCTTTTACACTCCCCACCTCAGCTACTATACTAATCTTTTACACTCCCCACCTCAGCCACTATGCTAATATTTCACACTCCCCACCTCAACTACTATACTAATCTTTTCAACTCCCCACCTCAGCTACCATCCTAATCTTTTCAACTCCCCACCTCAGCTACTATACTAATCTTTTCAACTCCCCACCTCAGCTACTATACTAATCTTTTCAACTCCCCACCCCAGACTTTATTCTAATATTTTTCACTCCACCACCTGAGCCCCCATTCTAACCTTTCTTTTATCCCTCTAAACCCCCCTTCCCAACTCAACAACAGCCCTCCCTACCAAAACATTTCTCTGTCCCACCCAAACTGGCTTTGTCTCTACAACTCGCTCATGTTATGGTCCTACAGGTACACAGACAAACGTATCCTCTAACAAATCCACCCCATCGGCTACCCCTCCTCACCCCAACTTATCCCCAGCAAAGTTTTGCCACCTAATCCCAGTCCATGTCAACTCTTAAAGGCAATATACTATTAGTTTATTATATTTGTTCACAAAATATTAACATCCTTTTTGTATAAGGAAATTTCAAAACTTCAACAACTAGGAAGCTAAAGAGGACAACAGAAGCATCAACATAAATATTTTTTTTTTAAAACATTGAAATAAGATAAAAACTTTATGATTTTTTTTAAATAATAAACATTCTTAGTTTCTTTAGATACACCTTATTGCAACCGAGTAACTCAAAATTCCAAATTACATCAATATTTTGTTTAGATAATTCAATTTTTAAAATTTTTTTTTCAACATAAAATGCGAAAATATAACTGTCTATTCTTAGTATATTGTTAGATTGTACGCGTTTGTCAGCAACAGTTACATCAAAGGATATACGAACGATCATTTTTAGCCAGTTATTATCATTTGCTAATACTTAGACTTATAAATGGCAAAATGAGTGATACATCATTGTTAAATTTAGGATTCATGTCGGAGATGATGAATGACTTATAGATCATAAAAAAATTAAAATATTTAAAAGTTGATTTTTTTTTAATTTAAAAAAAAAAAATTGTGGGTTGGTTGCTTAGAATGCCTGTTAGAATTTATTATATCATAAATTTTATTTGATGATTTTTAAAAAAAAAAATGATTACGAAATATAAGGATTAATTCAGCTGGGTTACGGCTTAAAGCCCCTTAAAGAATTCCCTGGAGAGACGTTAAGGTCAAAGCAAACCGTTTTTAACAAAAGCCTTGCATCAAGGTTTTCATTGCCTAAAACAAAATACGGGAATAACTTAACCTAGCTGATCAAATTATATTATAACTATATTTCTTTTGTTTTTGTTTTTTGTGTGTTTTGTTTACAGTGAGCCTGATGATAAAAAGCTTGACCTTCATGGCTACACTGTGGAGGAAGCCATTCATGAATTTGCTCAATTTTATTTAAAGACAAAAGAAAGTAGGTAGTAATCTTTTGATGACCGATTTGTTTAAAATTTAAGTGCCTTTTTTAAAACAATATTTTTCTAAGGCTGGTCAGTCAGTTTGTTAGTTTGTGGTGCATTCTTGCATAATAATTTTTTCCCCACTTCCTGATCTCCAGTTAAGCTGACCCTTTAAACACTTGGCCGTGAGAACAGGTTTAACTCAGTTAAAGATGTTCTATTTGGCCATTAAATGTGTTTACAAATGGTCACAAAAATTGCTCAAGCAGATAACATAGTATTACAGTTACACTTTTTTAGTCTATAGATTGAAAATGTGTGAGGAGGAGGACCGTTACATCTATGTCGTCACCGGAAGGGGAAATGGCTGCAGAGACGGAAAGCCAAAGATACGACCTGCGGTTCAAAGACTGCTTGACAAATACGACATAAGGTAAATCGTAAATGTACCTTGGAGACATCACCATGCTTAATTTTAATTGTTTATTATGTTACATACTCACTTGGCAATATATATATATATATATATATATTAAAAATTACATTAACATAGGTTGAATAATGTTCGCTCAAGGCTGCACGATACAAAAATCCTTAACATTAATCGTGTTCTTTGCTTTCGTGCAGACACAACTGGCGCAATGAACGTGGGCTAGTCATGATTGACTTCTGTGAACAGGACGAAGAGGAGAAGGAGGAGGAAGACCCAGTGACGCTCAAAACGCGTGATAAAAAGGCAAAAAGAAAAGACAAAAAAAGGAAAGGAAGAAATAGAAACAAGAAAGGGAAACCAAACTTTTACTCAAAAATGCACTAAAAAAGTGTAGAGATATACAGTGCTAGTAATTTCACGAGTGGGACAATCGCTTATTATTATTCATCACAAATAATCGTGAGAAGGCAGAGAGAGTGCAAAGAGGCCGTCGACCGTTACTTCCTATATATTTTGAGGAGTCATTTTTTTTTTTTTGCCAACAGCAGAGTTTTTTTCTTAGAATACCCCGATTGGCACTAACCTTAGCCACGCTACTGTTCGACGAGCTTATGATGTAGTAGTTAGATGTGTGCAGTATTCAGTATACAGCGTGTGGCCGAGCGGTCTAAACATAGCTGGTGGTCTGGAGTTCAATCCCCAACAAAGCCAACATCCCAAGCACCCCGGGTGGATGGGCAAGGTCCTGGACGGCAACCCATCTAAGAGAAGGCAAACTCTGGCAAACCAGGAGTCAGAATGATCAACAAATTGATCCTGGGTTCCTCAAATATAAGAAGATGAAGAAGATTAAACAAATGGGAACGTCTTGCATTATTTGTTTTTAAAATGTATATTAAAAAAAACACATTTACCTAAAAAAATTCCGTGCCACTGGTACATATAACTATTTATCAATTGTGGAAACAAATTTTGCCACTTTGGAGCAATGTTCTATCGTAGCAAATTTACCAACAATTATAATTTTCTTCTTGGAGAGAATCCATAACAGCATAATGGGACGTGTATTTTAGGGGGGCCTCGTGCCTGTTTCGATGAAGATTACATTATTCCGATGAAGAAAGTTTATCCTATTTGTTGCCGTGTGTGAGAATGAGCTTTGTCCAGTCGCAGTGCCTGCAAGGATCATCATACTGGCTTAAAATCAGCTCACGCGCACGATTCTTCATCTTCTTTATTTTGAGGCCCCACGATCAATGAATTGATAATTCTGGCTCCTATGTTTCAGAGGGGTTTGCGATGTTACTGTGCATGGGTTTCAAGGGGATACTTCACTGGTTGCAAGGGCTATTCAGCAGTGGTGTTAAGAACTGGGGGTTGGAATACAGGAGGAAATAGACACAAATGTGTCGAGTGTAGGCGCCTCAACTGTCGCTTTTGGAAGCTTGTTCCAGTCCCCTATTGTCTTCGGCAGGAATGAGGAGCTCCTGTACTTTGTTCTTGTTTTTACCAGCCGGAACTGTCTGTCGTGACCTCGTCGCTGTCTAAAGGGAAGATGAACGAGTTTCTGTTTGATGCCGGGGCAGTGGACCAGCCCATTTTTGATCTTGTACAACATGGTGAGCCTGGATAGTCGTCGTCGTTCTTCCAATGTTGACCAGCCCAGTGTTTTTAGCACGATCCCAACACTTGAGGTATTTCTGAAGCGGTTCAGGACAAAGCGTGCTGCTGCTGCCCGTCGCTGGACCGCCTCCAACCGGTCGATGCTTTTCTGGGTAAATGGGTCCCAGACTGTAGAAGCGTACTCTAAAATAGGCCGGACAAAGGCTTTATAGGCTTTTTCTTTCAAGCTTGAGTTGCCGATCTTCAGATTGCGCCTTAGGAACCCCTGAACGTACACTCTGAATGTACTGCATTGTTCTAACAAACTTAAGGCGGCCGCTTCTTGGCTTTCGTGCCATCATATCATCTGCAGCATCGTTTTTCTTCCAAAATTGATTCATTCGGCGTCTAACTGAATTTATTCCAAGCTATATTTAGGAACTGAGTAGCCATATTTAGGAACTGAGTAGCCATATCATTCACCTTGCTCCCATTGTTTCAATTCGCACTTTGTTGTATCAGACTACGAGCTTCTTATTTTAGTGATTTTAGGAAACAGCAAACACTGAACAATTAACTAAAATATAAAATTGGCGACCGGAAGTTAACGAAGTATGAACGACAAACATAGAGTTTGTAAACATTATTAGAAGTTTTGGAGTACGATGAAGCTTTAAAGTAGATTGATTAGGCACAATGTGTGTAAATAAAACAATATATGTTCAGTTTTTTTTTTCAATCCATCAATAATGATCATGCAGAAAAAAATTATGTAAACTTTTCGTCAAATGCCGTCATTGGTATAAAAAAAACATAAACACATTCATATATCTATAAATTAAATTTACATAACATAGATATACATGTTAGTATCCTACCTAAAAATGAGAGAAAATGATCAAGATTGGGTGCAATATAAGTACAGAAAATATTTTTGTTTTAAAACCGCCAAAAAACCTAATTTGATACATATGATCTATTGCACAAGATTCCACTTGGCAGGATCACTTTTTTTGGACGATACCTTTTAAATATTCATGATTTTTGTGTGTTATAACAATTAATGTGGGTGAAAACTTAAGTTAAAATTTAATTATTAGGTCTTGTTGATAAATAATTGAATAAATTACGTTTAAAAAAAATCAAGGTGTGTGTTATTACTTAAAGTAAAACTAACAATTAGTAGACCTACGCTGTTCATAACATGCGTCCCGAAAGAGTGGATACAACTACTCTCCAACCTTAGTCTGGCCGGTGAGCCGGTGTTGGTAATAATAGCCGTGTTAGACAAATCAGTGGCGGCTTCGAGTGCACATTAACTGTTATGCTATTGTTCCATGTTGGCAAGGTGGGAAAATAGATCTGCTAGTCGTGGTCCAGTTAAGCCAATTTAACTCATCAGACATCAATGACGAATGTAAGAGCAAGTTGACTGGTGTAGTAGAAACCGGCAGTTATTTGAAATCTACCCTTAGGGTAGTTAATCACTTGAGTCTTGATGACTTTATGACACGTCTTTCATCGGCTACTTACACGAGAGTGGACCTAGAGTATTCATCTAGTTGAAATTTCATAATTAAGATTACGGTATGCTGAGCAGACGCATGCAGTCGTTACACTGCTCATTAAAAAAAACAGACATCTAAATAGCATTGACATATCCCAAAAAGTTGTGAATGAAACATTAACAAATAAACGATTTTAATTAAGTTAGACATAAAATATTATTTTTAAATAAGACGTTTATCAGTTAATAATTTTTTTACACAAGCGGTTCTCAACCTGTGGGTCGCGAACTGTTTGGGGATCGCAGGACCTTACACAGGGATTGCCTACGACCATAGGAAACACCATATTTATGAAGAATAAACGAAAATAATTGTATGGTTGGGAGTCACAACAACATGCGGAACTTTATTTAAGTGCCGTGGCACCAGGAAGGTTGAGAACAACTGATTTACACTTACGCTAATAAATCAATTGCATAAGTAGAATACCGGGATAATATTTAGGTTCAAAGAAAGAGAATGAAAAAAAAAGACATTTAAAATAGAATCAACATAATATAGCAATACAGAATACATTGCACCATATTTATTTTTTTCAAAAAAAGCTTATTTAAATACAAATTAAAGCATATGATGTTTATGATTCTCAGGAAAATGAATAACACAAACTCTACAATACAATTTGAAATTATTTTGCTAGGGAAATTTTGAATAATATACTGGGATGTATATGCAATTTTAATAATGAAACAACAAAACAACATATTTGATATTGGACCCACGAGAACCAATACAACTGCACATATTTGAGCAATAAAAGTTTTATTAACCACAGAATGACTGGGAATGTACTTAATGATCATGGAGGGATAGAACGTGCTGCCAGGAAAACATCAATATGTGTGAATTGATAGGCAGGAACTAGTGACAGAGAGCAGTAGAAAGATGGGCAGAAGACTATAGACAATAACTAATGACAGAGAGCAGTAGAAAGTTTGGCAGAAGACTATAGACAAAAACTATAACTAATGACAGAGGGCAGTAGAATGTTAGGCAGAAGACTATAGACAATAACTATAACTAATGACAGGGGGCATTAGAAAGATGGGCAGAGGACTATAGACAATAACTATAACTAATGACAGAGGGTATCAGAAAGATGGGCAGAAGACTATAGACAATAACTATGACTAATGACAGAGGGCAGTAGAAAGTTGCGCAGTAGACTATAGAAAATAACTATACCTAATGACAGAGGGCAGTAGAAAGTTGGGTAGTAGACTATAGACAACAACAAACGACAAAGAGCAGTAGAAAGATGGGCTGAGGACTATAGACAATAACTGAAGACAGAGAGCAGTAGAAAGATGGGTAGAAGACTATAGACCATAACTATAAATAATGACAGAGGGCATTAGAAAGATGGACAGAGGATTATAGACAATAACTATAACTAATGACAGAGTGCATTAGAAAGATGGGCAGAAGACTATAGACAATAACAAATGATAAAAAGCAGTAGAAAGATGGGCAGAGGACTATAGACAATAACTGACGACAGAGAGCAGTAGAAAGATGGGAAGAAGACTATAGACAATAACTAATGACAGAGAGCAGTTGAAAGTTGGGAAGAAGACTATAGACAATAACTATAACTAATGACAGAGGGCATTAGAAAGATGGGCAGAGGACTATAGACAATAAGTATAACTAATGACAGAGGGCGTTCGAAAGATGAGCAGAAGACTCTAGATAATAACTATAACTAATGACAGAGGTCAGTAGAAAGTTGGGCAGAAGACTATAGACAATAACTGACGACAGAGAGCAGTAGAAAGATCGGAACAAGACTATAGACAATAACTGACGACAGAGAGCAGTAGAAAGATCGGAACAAGACTATAGACAATAACTAATGACAGAGAGCATTAGAATGATGGGCAGAACACTTTAAAAGATAGTAAGGAGCCCTAGTGGCGGAAGACACCATCTCAAAGAGGACTTGTCTCTAAATCTGACAAAAGGCTCAAGTTGGTTGTGGAAAGACCATAACACCGCAGAACTGATCAAAGAAGTGCAGAATCACATTCAACATTGAGAACATTGCAGATAAAAGTTGCATTGTATTCTTCTGCTTCTCGCGAGTTGCGTTATACATTTGTTTGATCCATTGTACAGACTGATAGCGAGCTGCGTGACATATTCATTTCATTATCTATTTCCCAGATCATCTAACGACATCTAACTTTACCACAAGACCCCAATGATGCATCAATTATCCACCTGCACTAACGCAAAGAAAACCGCCAGGCCTGCGACAATCACCTCGGAATTTCACTGCTGTCCATTGCTTGCAAGATCTTGGCCCGTGCTCTTCTGAACCGGCTGAATGCACACCAGAAGCTAGATCTCCTACCCGAAAGTCATGGCGGTCATATCGACATGGTGTTTGCTGCTAGGCAACTTCAAGAGAAATGTCGGGAGCAAAATACAGCCCTATATTCCACATTTATCGACTTAAATAATGATTTTGACAGAGTCAATAGAAATGGCCTGTGGAAAATCATGAAGAAGTACGGATGCCCAGACAAGTTCACCAACATCATTCGTCAGCTGCATGATGGTATGATGGCCCAAGAACAGAACAACGGTCAATCATCTCAAGCATTCCCCGTCACAAACGTGTGAAGCAGGACTGTGTCCTTGCTCCCACACTCTTCAGTATTATGTATTCTGCAATGCTGTCTGATGCAATCAGGGACTCCACCACGGGCTTGCCAATCCGGTTTCGCACCGATGGATCAGTCTTCAACCTTAGGAGGCTTCAAGCTAAAATCAAGGTCAAACATAACACGATCAACGAGCTTCTGTTTGCGGACGATTGTGCCCTCAACGCTTCCTCAGAAGCCGTCATGCAACAGAGTATTGAATATCTTCTCAGATGCCTGCAATAACTTTGGCCTCACAATCAACACAAAGTAGATTAAGGGGATGTATCAGCCAGCTGCCAGTAAGCCCTACGTTGAAACCAACATAATCATCAGCGGACAGCATCTCAACCCAATGGATAAATTTACTTACTTGGGCAGCAACCCTCTCCAGATCGTTCGTGATGGATGATGAAATGAATGGCAGACCTGCAAAAGCTAGTGCCATATTTGGCAGGCTCCGCAACACTGTTCGGGACAGGAGAGGTATCAGTCGAGAAACGAAGATCAAGGTCTATAGCGCAGCAGTCCTCTTGACATTGCTCTACGGATGTGGAACGTGAACTGTCTATCAGCGTAACACCAAGAAACTGAATCATTTTCACACAACCTGCCTCAGGAAACTCTTCGGCATCAGTTGGCAATACAAAGTCCCTGGCACGGAGGTCTTCGCTAGAGCGAACCTACCTAGTATCTTCACCACCCTGATGCAATCTCAACTCCGTTGGATGGGACACGTACTCCGTATTGACCGGCTCCCAAAATAGATATTCGTCGGGGAACTCACGACAGGCAAGCGCTCCCAAGGAGGTAAAAAAAGCGTTACAAAGACTCACTGAAAGCGGCACTAAAGACCTTTAGCATCAAACCTACTCAATATGTGCAGACAGCCCAGGACAGAGCAGCTGTCAAGAAGGGGGATAAATACCATGAAACTAATAGGATAACCACAGCTGTGACACGCAGGCTTGCCCGAAAGAGCAACATTAGGTCACCGTCTGCAGCAGCTATCCCCTGCTCGCGGTGCCAGAGATTATTCCGAGCACGGATCGGTCTAGCAAACCACCTACGAGCTCACTGTAACCCACACTCCCCCTAACCGGATGACTCGATGGTCCTAGTCAACTTCGACGGACGAACAACAACAACAACAATATTTGTTTGATTCTTTGTACAGACTGATAGCGAGCTGCGTTATACATTTGATTGATTCATTGTACAGCCTGGCATCGAGCTGCGGTATTCATGTATTTGATTTACTGTACAAACTGATTAAGAGCTGTGTCATACATTTTTTTTTTATTCATTGTAAAGCCTTACACGTGTATTTGATTCTGTAGAGACTGATTTATACGCTTCTGAATGATCTTTTATATAACTGTTGCAAAAAGTATGTGCTTTCAACTCTATGTGATTACGACCGTATGAACGCGTCAAGAATTTGACGAAAGAAAAAAAAATCATTTATGGATCGTAATAATTTGACCAAAATGTTTTCCAACCCTCCTGTGCTAGTCTGCTGGATTTTATAATCAGTTGGCTAAGTCCTATGAACAGAAAAAGTGGTTTACAAAATGTCACCTTGCAGCTACATAAGCTAATTACAGTTTGGAATGCACTAAGATATATGACGAAATATGTACTGTTGTGACTAGGAAGCAATCAATAAAAAAAAATAACTTTCTGGGACCTGTATTTTTGTTATCATATTTGAGGGCCAACGATCAATTTATTGATTATTTTTGCTCCGGGCTAGAATTCAGATTTTACCTCCTCTTAGATGAGTTGCCGTCCAAGGCTAACGAGCCTCATTCACCCGCGGCGCTTGGGATGTCGGCTTTGGTCGGGATTGAACG